AAAAAAACGCAGTGTGGGTATGAATAGAGCGCACTCGTGAGTATGCACAGGCTGCGAGGAAGGAACTACTGTTGAATCCTTCTCGCGTTCAAATTGTAGACGAGCACCGCAGGGGGTAAGGCGGAGCACAAAAATACTCGCGTGCTTATCTTTCCCCTGTGTGACCCCGGCTGGTGTGCTGGTGTCACCTATAATACACAGAAGAAAACGTTCTGGTCTCTGCTCGTGCCTTCAAACATCCATACTCCTTGATTCCTTCCATGGTCACAGGCTACTACCCCCGAATGGTACCATATTTTAGTAGGAACAAACAAGAGACATCATGTTTTCGTCCCATCAGATACAGCTAGTGCCCGCACTCAAATTGAGAATCTCTACTGTTCGTCGAGGCTGAGGTTCGTATGCAGAGTACATTGCACTAAATAGTTCCTCTTGTGGGCTACAAATGGCCGCAATATAGGTTTTACTGTAGGGTTCTCAACCGGGCTTACAAATGGATAGTAAATAATAGGGGCTCTTTGCTCACAATCAGTGCCCAAGTGCTCAGAATTTGAGTTCTTCCACGCAAATTATTTCTTAACTGCCAATCTTGTAAGTGCCAAGGGCGCTACAACGACTGTGACTCTCAGAACACACAAACTCATACAAACCAAAATGAAACTCTTCGGCAAATCATGAACAGGAAAAATCCCAAACCATATTTAGTCAGACCTTGCCGCCGTGGGTGACACGCAGCGAAAACAACGTCAAAAGAGAAACGGGATCGATTCACACCCAGAGGCAACAATTCCCGCTCGGCACCCGCAGTCAAACATAACCACTGCTGTGAATACCCTCAACTCTGTGTGAGCTGATGTCCCAGTATGGCGAGGTGGTATATGCCTACCACCGGAGGCAGGCCAGTTTCCTGTGTTGAGATTTTACGAGGAATGTCAAGCGGTGACCGAGCGTGCTCGGTCAAGGCTAGGGTAAGGTTGCGAGTGGGCGTTAGCCGAGACCCTTCTTGGCTCTCGGTACCAACCTTTAAGATCCACCCCGACTCCTGTCGGAGCAAACAACCCAGAGTAAAGATCCAGAGTAGAGCGATGAATAATCGTCTGTCGAAGGTGCTTTACTCCCCCCTTCGTATGTGTGTTTGTAAAATAACAAGATACGAATATCCTGGCTTCCCCATCACAAGCAAAACTGATACCCAGAACTAATGGGACCAAATCAAAAACACACACATACTGTACAACTGAAGCACACATAGTGTACATACATCTTCCGGATCCAGTGTTGGCACATTGAGCCCTTTACTGCAGTTCGTTATTGGCACCATGAATCCCGCGCGAAATCACCCTCACCCACGGATGATAAACACCCATACGATGATGAACTGTTGTCGAGTAAAGGCAGTATTCTTTGTTCGGAACACGATCTGAATGTTCTGAGTTCTGAACAGACGTAGTGTAGCGTCTGCGTATCGATCGATGGTTGAACGCTGTCCTTGGTTGGCATTGGCACTGACGGAAGAGCAGGGAATGCAAAGGACCACGAAGCGAGCAGCACGACCGGCCTGGGTGCGGTGATAGCTGCATCGCTAACTCTATGGTCTGCTGCTGTACATGTAACGGTCGCCCGGGTAAAACTCAAGGAGGGGGAAAACCAAAAAGAGACTTGCACATGCGTCCGAAAACAGCGCTGTTATGGCCAACTAATAGCCGAGCGGCCTGAGTCCTCGGTGAGCCTATACCTGGCAGACTAACCTTCGGGGTCTAGCGTGACACGAGTTGCAGAAGGTTCGTGCGAGTTGCTGCTTGTCATGCCGCACGTTGCAGGTGTATCTTCACCAGCCGGACCTGACGACGTCGAACGGTCAGGGACAGGACGGAAGAGTCGTCCCATCAGCCTATCTATCCGGCTCGTCCGGACTGGGCGTCGAGACTTTGAACCCGTTGCCGTCGTGCATGCCTAATTCTACAAGTTGTACCGTGTAGCTGGCATAGTGTCTAGGCTGGGAGAACCAAACGATGGTAACAAAGAAACGAGGACAGGGATAGCGAGGCTGGGGAAGTGCTTTTGGGAGCAAGCGGCCGCTGGAAAATCTCGCATACCAGTGACCAGCCTTGGCGGGGCATCCTACGAGCCTTGGTTACACTTTGATAGTAACTCTTTAGGACTGGCCGATGTTGAACGTAGCAAGGCTAGGTTCTTCACGCGAGCAAGGCTAGGTTGCTCACCCCACATCTACCCTAACCCTAACCCTAACCCTAAACCTCACCCACAGCCAAAGCACGGCCTTGCGGCCGCGAACTGGGCGGCACGCGGCTGCGCCGCGTGCTCGGAATGCGGAACGGGGAGAGGGCGCTGGAGAGGAATCGGCCGGCAGAACCAACGCTGAACATCGCCCGACCAATCAGAACGCGTTAGTCCTAAAGATCTCCTATCAATGTGTAAACACTACAACTCCATCCAACCGCCGATGAGTACGCTTTACACATGCGTGTGACTGGATAATTTCCCAACATGGGCGACAAATGGTTGCCTAGTGCATACAGAAATAGTACCAATGACATGGGGATGGAGTGTAGACGCATCGTAGAACGCGTTTTCGTTTGAAAGTTGGCGTCTTGTTTGAGAGTAGATGTGCCAGTTTGCGTAGAATAGGGTAGGATGTTATCATGAACGGAGAAGAAAGGGCTTTTCCAAAACGGAGATGTAGCATGGATCAAAGCATTTGTTGGATTTCAGCTTTTACAAGAGGACATCAACGCAGTAGTATTTTAGCAAGCTTACGAACGCATGTAGGATACCATGAGGATTGTCGTTGGTTGTATTTCAAATTGAAGAGGAGATATTTTTACGATGTAAGTGACAGTCGAAGTAAGTCCTACATATGTTGTTGTACTTCGTATTGGTTTAATATTCATGAAGAGCATGAGACATTAAGTGAAAGTTTTCTGAGGTACATCTTCAATTGTCGGAAGGCAAAAAAAAAAAAAAGTAGCTCGGGAAATGAGCTTCCAGAATACAAATACTTCGAAGTAAATGCTTTTTGGTCCTTGCCCGTCCAGTCCAACACACGATAGACTAAACCTTTATTGCCTTCGGCCTCTGTGCTGTGTTTCCTTTTTTCATGTCCTCCCTGCCTATTCTGCTGTGTTGGGTACCTTGATCTCGCTCTTGCTGTTGCTTTTGTTTTTGTACATCTGGCTATCTGCCCATCTGCCGCCTCTTTGGCCTGTTTGCTCCGTTGCTCCCATGCCCTGGTGCGTAGTGCCTGGTGCTGGTACGTTGCGATTTTTTTTACGCGGGTGTGGGAAGCGTCCTCCTTTATTGTTGTTTTTGTTTTATTTTGATCGGTTTCCGAGGCCTCTTTTCTCGATCGGTCGGTGCGGTACCTGTTCTTTGCTTTCTATCATTTTGTTTTCTTTGTCCGAGTGGTTGTACCCTATTTTTGTTTTGTTTCCCCGCGGCGTCGTATGTGGCGGGTGTTGAGACCACGGGCTCCCTATTTTTTGTTCGAAAGGCGTATGCACGCCAGCGCTGGCGAGCTTCTTGCACTCGCCAGTTCAACAATTTTTGGGTCGTGGTTGGAGGTAGACACGAAACCAAAGCCACAACGGGTTTCCAGCCCTCAGGCAGCACGAAGGCGATAGGCCTCACTAGGCCTAACCCACCCCTAACCCTAACCCTAACCCAAACCCAAACCCAAACCCAAACCCAACACCCCAAAATAGGTCGTTGGGCAGTGGGTAGGCCCAGGTCGCTTTACCGAGCTACTGGAGCGTGCAAGAATCTCGCCAGTACTGGCAAATTTTCGCCGCGGGGTTTTTGATGACTATAGAGATAATGTGAGAAACAACAACAACAACAACAACACCTGCTGGGCGTTGCAGACCTATTGATCGGTCATGTTTTCATGACTTGTAGTCTATGCATACGGTACTTATCAGCAATGATGTACTCTTCACAAAAACGCAAATAAGAAACGCGACAGTGAAAATCAGACTCTTCCATGTTTGAGCATGGCGGTGGGGTTGGTGACTCGATAGCCTCATCCGCGAGCTCTAGTAAGTTTAGGTATGGCGCAGATCGGTACGTGCCGTGTCTGCACACATAGTACAACACCACGTGCAACTTGAATGCCCTCATTACATTAGCTGCTCCACTGTACCGCTGGCTATCGCCTCCTCCTTGAATCAAACTAAAACAAATCTAGATTAGTCTAGTCGATCGACTTGAGTGGTACTCTGTAACGTGAAGACAAAAGCATTCTTGTGATGAACCTACTCCGTAGATGGGCGAGCACGAGCCGGGCACGGGCCAGGAATCAATCGTGGTGCACTTCATCACACTTTCGAGGGACGAAGGGTTGGATCCAAGGGGATGGTTAAGTGTGATGGACAGGTCTAGCACAGCATGCATATGCGTGCTGCTGACTCTGTCACTGCTGGAGAGGCACAACAAAAGTCACCCGCTTTGTAGCGAGCAATCGGGAGCAACTAACTACCGCGCACAGAAGCACAGGACACCGGCGGGTTATCGGGTCTCTCTCTCTACGGCTGATCAAAAACCGGAGCATGGAGGCGGTGTGGGTCTATCCCTGCCTGCGTATATATATCATCACCCAAGTCGCCGCAGCAGCCTGCAGCCTGATGAGAACATATTATTCGCCTGCTGTATTGCCGACCACGTAGAGCCGGCCATGCAGAACGCAGAACGGAGTAACGAACGTGAACGCACATGATACCGTGCCAAAACAAACGGGGCCAAGGGCAGAAAGGACTGCGCGCAAATACACGTCTGCACATACATAACGAACTGCGTTTCGCTATTTCAGCTCCTCCTCGCGGTGCAATGGATAGATTCCCCAAGACAGTAGAGGCTGAGAACTACGACCGCGGTATACAGATCGACGTCAACCTAAAACACCCCCCCACACCTTTTCTAGACGTCGGAGACGGACCTGCTTGTTGTTTCTTTTGAACCTGAGAGGGTCGTTAGAAGCGGAGATCAGCAAAGCTGTGAAGCCGCGCGTGGGCTGCCAGGTAGGTGTCGCGGTCCGAGGTTGGGTGTAATCGTTGAAGACCTCTGTCGGCGCAGATGTGTTTGACCGTTTCCTCGGGCGTAGCTGAGAGTCACGCGAATAGAGAGCCAGGAGCGGTATAGAGAAGAGGGGGGGCGCACACTTAAAGTTCATCAGGTATGACGGGCACTTCGCAAATTTCTATAGGAAAAAAATATAGTTCCGGGTTCCAGTTCACCATGCTGCCTTTACCTTCGGCAGCAAGAAAATTAGATCCAGAAACGAGGGGAAAAGTTGACTTTTCAGATTTCCTTTTGTCAACCCGCCCGCCCACCGTTCACACTCCACACACGAAGTGAAAGACAGAAGAGGAACACGCCACCACCTTGCTCCACCACCGCATTGTTGCGCTGGTCGTTGTCGACCATGGGGACGAAGTCTTCATATGCCCAATGTCGATCTCGGATGAACCGGGTAGTCTTCTTGTGTGTTTATTTTCTCTTGGAAAATAGTCTATGCATCTAGAAGATGTTTCTGTTGTTGTTGGAGGCGAAGGAATCAGTGAGATTTTTCGAAGAAAGCGCGGTATATTTTTTTTTTCTGAACATGACACAACGAGTCCATCTCTATCATAAAAGAGTCAGAGACAGATCATCAATGGAATCATAGCGTCAGAAAAAACTACCTGTATGTCTACGATTTCCCAGACAGCATATAGGGACATCTCCCCTGCGCATAACAGGCTCAACAAGTCAGTTTGGTAGCTGTCTTGTGTGTCTGATATATCTTATGTTGGGAAGGTGCAGACCAAGGTTTTGGGTACTGTTGGGTAGTCGGGCGCTTTGTGTGTCGCACCCTGTTATTATTAGTTATAGGACATGCAATCTCCATCAATCAGTTTACAAACAATTTTTTCTTATTTTTTCTCAATCATTGGACTCTGTCGTCTGCCCCTCTGGCCCCTATCCTCCACTTCTACCAGCTAGACGACCCAACCGGGGTCACACAGGAGGGAGGGCTTGGACCCCCTCCTGCGGTTCCTGCTTGAGATATTTTTATCGCGAGAAGGGTACAGCAATCCCTTCCCTCGCGACTTACGGAGTCGATCAAGTTTACGAACAACGAGCTTTGCAGCGCGTCGCTTCCAACGGAGGCCAGGATTTAATTAGCGAGAAAAAACTCACTCTGTCGGAACTCGAACCCATGACCTGGCCCTTAGCAGGCTGCGAGGCTACCCACTAGACCACCGGGGCGACCGGTGGTTGTATGTACAGTAGCGGCGCGTTGTACGAGGCACACGCTGCCGCCCTCTGTCCATTTCCATCCAATGGAGCCTTTGGCCGACTTCCTCCGCAGTCTTCGTTTGGCGAAGGAAGACTACATGGGGTTCAACAACAGCAGTATTAGCGACAAACACATGAACGGACGATGCTACAATAGCAACGCTGACTCTTCTAGCAACAGCAGTAGTCTGGTGGATGATGAATTTGCCGCATCCTTTCGGAAGTAGCTCCTTCCTGTACCAATCAACGCTCACTGCTTGCTCCCTCGAACTTCAGATTATATTTGGGATGATATTGTAGCGGTCATCACGTACAGTACGCCCAACCCAATCCGAGATTGTCGTCGGGGACAACATTAGGTCAGGTGCAACACCGATCCCGCCCCTCCCAGCAATATCTGGCCCTGCATGTGCGTGTGAATGGATTTTTTTTCCGAAAAAAAAAGTGCAAACTGTTCGGGCCGGCAGGCACTCATTCATTTCCTCGCACCAGGTTCTTGACGTTGGTTCCCGCGTCCCCTCGCACTCCCTGCTTCTCCAGAAAGGCAAGGCGTCGTTTCAGTGGGGATGGGGCGGGGCTTGTCAAGAGGTCCTTGCTCTCAAAAGCGTTACGGTTGGTCTAAAGTGCTCTTCTTGGTGATGCCAAGCGCTTGCCGAGGGACAGCCCAAGAAGCAGGAGGTGCCGCGTCCGTCGCAGACGCAGCGGCAGGTCCTTAGCCTCCAGCCCACACACTACATACGTGGCCACAGCATGTAGCGTCCTCGTCTTTACCAAACGCAACCCCAGCCCCACAAACGCGAGGCCGTAGGGGGGGCTATGCTGGTATGCTGCTGTACAATCCTGAGTACCTGCAAGCGACGACAGTCTAGTCTTGTTGTTGTTGTTGTTGTCTTCACATTAATTAAAAACCATCCCGGTCTCTCTATCCAGTACCTCCTTCTGTCTCAATCTCTCCGTACTAATCCATCACTTTAGATGTCCTGTAAAAATGCAAATACATACATACCGAAGTAGACTGCTGTATAGTCTAGACTAGTCTAGATCTATGTTGTAATTAGAGCAGAACGTGTAGTCTACTGCTAGCGGACACGTACTGTATGCTACAATATGGACGTGTGTATATTTTGTTCTCCTAATATGGACGACAGCTAAGATGAGGAAGGGCACCCGCCCCTTGTAATTTGTAACCTTCCGTAGAGTATTACTTGTATTCGGAGGGAAAGCGATCTATCGTCCACCCATGATCCGAGATCATCGTGATACATGCGGATCGCACGCCGGGAGGCCCTCACCAACACACACGTACAGTCATAGACCTACAGAGTGTTGATCGACACGTACCGGCGGAATAATTGCGCTGCAAACTCCTTCGGGTTGATACTCTTAACTCAGTTCTTCGCTCTTCACAACGAGAACACCTAACCATATACACTACCTTTCTTCCGTGCTATATAGCATTATATCCTCCCTATCCATACAGTAGCATAGGTGTAGGGAATTCAGTCCAATTTCTCGTGAGAAAGAGTGAATATTTTGGCCGAGCCCCCCGCGCCTCGCGACGCCGGGCTACGCTATCCACTCTTGCCATACTGGCACACATGATGGACCATCACATACATGCGGTGGTTGTCCTCATAGATCAATAGTTGGTACAAATTGTATACGCTGTGAGCAAGAAAATCAACAAGAAAAAAGTGAGGAGATGATNGGTGGCTCAGTTGTGTGCGATGGGAGTGTAGAGCAGCTCGGCCATGACGGGCCGTAGGGGTAAGTAAAGTCGTACAGACGTGTTGGAAAACGTGTTGTATTCATCGGGGGCGTGCTTGAGCTCGTCATTCCATCATGGCATCAAGTAACGCATAACGCTCAAACACCCAAAACCCAAAACGAATCTCAATGAATGTCCACCAATCTACACTCCCAAGGAAAACATAAAGAAACTTCTTGTTCCTCCGTATTTCGTCACTGCAAATCCCGCATATNGTGTTGTATTTGTCGGGGGCGTGCTCGTGCTCGTCAAACCATCACGGTATCGAGTCACGCCTTCATGCTTTCTCACACAACGAATCTCTCTGAATCCTCACCAAAAGCCTCTCACAACCAAGGAAAATATGTAGAAAGTTCCTGTTCCTCCGCATCTCATCACTGCAATATTCGTACGTACGTACATAACATCTCAACCATCATACTATGCTACGAGTATATCGAATAGCCCCCCTGCTCGTATGCATCGTCATGCTCCGGCAAAATATGAAAGTCATCCTTCTCATACTAGTTCATCCCAAAACACAAAACCAAGAAAACGAAAATACAAAATCCCAACACCAATACAATACGTCCGAAAATAATCAATCGCATACCAACTCTCCCAAATCAACAAGAAAAATCCCTAACACTAAC